AAATATATTTCAAGAAAACAATCAGGGGTACCTGGCTGGCTCAGTCAGAAGAGCATGAGACTCTTGATCGTGCGGTTATGAGTTTTTTTAAAAAAAATAAAAAATAAAATAAAATCTTAAAATGAAATAAAATCCTGATGTCCAAATCAGACACTATGCCAGTTAAATCAGAATGTCTTGGGGATATGAGTCACATCTGAATAGTTCTTAAATTCGCACATGACTGCAACACGTAGCCAAGTTTGGCTATGGCTGCTCTAGGCAAATCCTTGTGTGTGTGCACTGGATGACATCTATTAGAATGTTCACAGCAGTGTTGTTTGTAATTGCAAGAATCCAGGAATTTCTCAGCGTCCATGGGCAGAATTGATAACGATGTAGTGCATTCACACAATGGAATACTATGACACAGTAGAAACTAATTGCAGCCATATCCATCAACAGGGATGAATGTCATCAACATAATGTTGGGGAGGGAGCAGAAGCAATTCGGAGAAGAACATATACAACTCGACTGATTTACATAAGGGAAAAATTGCATTAACCAGGTAATGCATTGTATAAAGATACATATGTTTGTTGCAAGACCATGATAAGCACAAACTTCAGAACAGTGGTTATGGGGGCAGGGGGGTAGCTTCTAAGAAACTGTTTATTGCTTTATTTTTTAAACTGATGGCAGTTTATAATTTATATATATGTTATAAATATTACTCCACCTGCTTTAATTATTTTGTTAAATATTTTAAAAGAATTTTAAAATCACAACAGGTGAATATTCATGTGGCGGGACCAACTTGAAAAATTCTTTCAAACTTCAGAGGAAAAGAACAAAGAAACCAAAAAATGAGGAAAAAAATTATAACTGTAGAGGACACCGAATGGCCATAATTATATCTTTTTTTATTATAATTCAAAGAAAGTAGAAACTTAAAAAAAAAACTCACCAATTAAAAATTAAGTAAACTTAGAGGAGCATAAAAACTTCTGGAACCGGAAACCATGAAGAAATATTTCTAAATCTGAAATGCAAACAAATGTACAACCACATTAAGAATATCAGGTAAGGGGCACCTGGGTGGCTCAGTGGTTAAGCGTCTGTCTTCGGCTCAGGTCATGATCCCAGGGTCCTGGGATCGAGCCCCACATTGGGCTCTCTGCTCAGCAGGGAGCCTGCTTCTCCCTCTCTCTCTCCTTCTGCCTCTCCCCCTGCTTGTGCTCTCTCTCTTGCTGTGTCAAATAAATAAATAAAATCTTTAAAAAAAAAAAAAAGAATATCTGGTAAATATATTGGGTTAAACTGATTGAAACTAACTCTTTGCTCATGGACTTGAATATTTCCTTCAGTAAATTCTCAGAAGTAGAATCACCGACACATACAGATATTTAAAAAAATGGTTATTAAAAGCATGAACCAACAGGGAAGATTCTGTAAAAGTAAACATTCATAGGGAAGAAAATTCTGTAAAACCATAAAGTCAGAGTTTGCTTTTGAATGGTGAATTAAGAGATGATTTTTATCTGCTTTTTTACTTGTCTGTGTGTGTTTTCCTTTTCTACACTGAATATATGTTACTCGTATAAAAATAACAAAATGTAATTTTATAAGGTGTACAAGGTAATTGCAGCAAAGTGCATGACTGGGTCTTTCCTGGAAAAGCTCAGGCATGGTGAAAACAACTTGCTTAATACTGAAGGGCTAAGTTAAAAGAGAGCTGGATTCCCAGCCAGAACCTCACAATCAATGGACCTCATCAAGGTTGGCCAGCCTCCATTGACCCCCAGCATCCCTGCCTCCTGGTATTCTCGCCCTTAGGTAGCCCCCCTCCCAACACTGTAGAGGGTTGGTCTGTGAGACCAACAGAATATAGCACTTTTTTTTTT